AAAAAAAACACAGGTTTGCCGATGTGGGCTTGCTTGGTGTGTCCAGGTTGAGTTCAGGTGATGTGAGGTGGTTTTTTTATGTTGGAAAATAGATTAGTGGTGAGTCATTTTGGGGGGGTTGAGTCAGTTATGTGCGTCTGTTCAGTTATCTATCAGCGGGACTGGTTACGGGGGATGTGGGGGGGGGGGGGGATATAGATTGTCTTATTGGGGATGTATGATTGAAAGGATGGATGGATGTGTAGTATTTGTATAGTTGGTTGGTTGTATTGGTGTTCTTGGGTTTGTGATTCGGTGAGTTGTGTTGGAGGTATATATATATATATATATTGATCCAAGTTGAATTGCAGTTGGTAATTCGTAGACTGTTCAGGGTTTACCGATATGCAGCCATGCTTGGAATGTCTTGTGGAAGACTGAATGTGGATAGACTAGAGCCTAATTGGGATTGGATTTCTGGCAATAATGGCAGAGGGTTGGGTAGTCGCGTCACACATCCTTTGGATTCTGACCCTGATTTCCTTCGAGAAGAGAAGGGATGGACTTGGAATTGCTTTCTGGTGAGATACCCTGTACCATGCGTATTCTGGGGGTCCGAAATAGAAACTATATGATGGCTAGAGTATTTGGGGTGGAGGAGATCTGGGGATTAAGGGTTGTGTTGGCGGATGGAGTACAGGTTCGTTCTCCGGTCCCTGGATTGTCAATGCAACGTGCGTATGGCATTCTGATTACCATTGGGCATTTCCTTTTGGAGTGTCTTGGCCGGACGAAGTATGCGATGTAGCTTGGATTGCTCTGCGGTTCTAGACGTTGCTACAGTGGGAGGGATATACCTACGACGTAACTAGGGCTGCTTTGCACTGGGGAGAGCATATGGATGACTTTGCAAAGTAGAGCATCTGTGACTCTATAAGCCGTTCAATAAGAAAGTAACATATCTATGTAATCTATCCATAGCCTGTATATACGGACGGAACCTTCTCTGTCCATGATGCGCCAACATCAAAAGGGTAATAGAAACGGAAGAAAAGCAACCAAACAAAGCGGTGTGTCCCAAATGTCAACCCATGCAAAACAAAACGGGGGAGCTTTACATCCCCCGGTTGAACTCAACCATCCCGTCCTTGCCACCCTTCTGCCAGAACTCCTCCTCCAAAGACTGCGCGCTGATGGCCTGGCGCTGCGGGAAGGCTCCCAGCGCCAACGGCAGGGCAAACAGGGATGTAGCAAAGATCAATCCCAGGTTCAGGGGCAGCACCATACGGGGCCGAGCCTGAAGCCAAGCTGTCTTCTCCAACCGGAGCAGAACCAACGGCGGCACGACCATGATCGGGGTCGCGTTCAACACACGACTGACCGCAGTCTCACCCACAGCGATGGTGGCGGCCGTCTTGCTCTTACCCAAGCTCTGGATCGGCTCGCCGGTCTCCTCCCGCTTCTTCTTCTCAGCCTCCGACAGAACTGGGTAGACGTCGATACCCTGGCGGATCTCCTCGCCGCGCATAAGGAACACGTTCAGGGCGCTAGCGCTGGACACGGCAGCGAAAGGCACCAGTCGGCCGAGCATGAGCTTAGTGCTGGGCGACAAGCCCTTCAGACGGGGCACGAGAGCGTTCAGACCCAGTGCCACCGAGCACGATGCCGAAACAGCCATCAGGTATGACTTGGCCATCTGGGAGTAGGACAAAGGGGTCGACTTGTTCGCATTTGCGTTGTTGACGGCGACGTTGAGCGACTGGTTCGCAATCTGCCAGAGAAGTGTACCAGTGGTCTGACCAGTTCATGTTAGTAGCTGACGACATTGCCGTGGGTCACACAAGGATTCATACCTGCAGCCCGGGCGTCAGCATGCCAGCCGTCACCACAAGGTTGGTCAGGACATAGCAGGACATGCGGAAGGGAAGGAAAACGGGTTCGCCAGTGTCTAAGAAGACTGGTTAGACCTATGCAGGATATATCATGGGGGCAACGGACCTGGATGCAGGGTGGAATCGACCACCTTCTTCGCACGCCACAACTCGGGGGTCATAACGGGAACATGGCTCTGCTTATAGGAGGAGATGAGCTGCTTCGCACTCTCCAGCCCCGACGAGGAGATAAACAACATCCTAGTGAACATTAGTCGACGTCAAACGGGCGCATGAACCCCATCATGCTGGGCTGCAGCCAGGCAGGGCTCTCAGTCATGGTGGGTTGGAGGGGCCATACCTCGGATCGGCGATGTCAGCCGAGTGTCGCACACGGCCCCAGTATGTACTCAGGTCATACTGAGAGGGAGGGAGATCCCGATTGCCAGGAAGGGAGCTGGACATGGCCGGAGAGCGAGCGTGACGGAGGGCAAAGACAGCAGCTCTGGCGAAGGAATCCTGGAGGGAGCGAGGGGGGAAAAAAAGAGTCACTCGGGGAAGAAAGAAAATCATTCACAGGAACCACTCGCGCTATCGGAGGCGGTGAGCCCGATAAGGCACCAGGTCCACCAATGACAGCCCGCCAATTCCAGAGGGTCGGCAAGGGTCCCGTCACCGCCTTTGCAGTGGATTTCAGGTCCGGATCTCCATCCGACAATAGCCGCCCCGGCACGCTTTCTTTTACACGGAGGCACAAAACATTCACAGTAGGCATCGATTAAGTACAGTTCATTCAATACTCGGTCCTATCCAGTCGATGGGCCACGGGCGCCCTCCTGATTTTGTCCAAAGTCACTAGTTACAGTAGTACATAGGTATCACGTAGGCCGCTCGCCTGACAATTAATACAAAAAATTAGGAAAATAAATGATAAACGGCAGTATCTCACCAGGGATGCATAATAACATAGCCACCAATGTACAATGGTGAGCCAACAACACATGTCTCAAGGAAATATGGGGGGGGTATGTCTAAGGTTATCGCACAACGAACAAAGGAGACCCGTTAAAAAAAAAAAGAGAAAAGAAAACGCGAAAGAGTGTGGCCGTCAGTCTCGGGACCTCATCCGTGAGGGCCGAGGGGAAAAGCTGACGCGAATCGTGTCATGATCCATCCATGACAGGCACGCAAAATTGCTTGCTTGCTTGCCTGTGGATGTGGGGTTCATCGTCAATAATTTCTTCTATCGGAATCGATAGGATTTGTGAGCCAATGGCGACATTGGTGCATGGCCAACGCTCCCGACAGACCCGGATGCGATTCCTCCGAGAAGGAGTATGGGTACAGAAGACACAAACGTAGACCGATGGCAAGTTGGCTCGCTCCAGACCGACACACTTGGTATGTAGCCAGTGGCTGCACGATTCACTAAATCAGATCAGTTTCCTGGTTTGCGTGCAAGGCTTCGTGGAGAGGGTAAATACCATTGAATCATCAAGTGGCCACCGTTGTCCATGGAGTTGCAGATACATCTGGTTCCATTGCTTGGGTTGCTGTATCGGTCGGTGCTTGGGGTGGCCAGGTCAGGATCCGTCATGGTCGTGGGGGACGTGTTCGGGGCCTGCAGATTGAGATCCAATTCGGCACCAAATCGGGGTGGTGAGGAACGGAGATGCGCCAACGAGCGTGAGGATCGGTTGACCCGGGAGCCGAAGTTGACCGTGTGGGACCGAGGAATGCGGCCTCTCTCCTGGAGTACCTTGCGGAGTGCATGCTGGGCATCACCGGATTCTTCTTCGGAATCAGCGAGGGGTGCCGGTATCGAACTGGCGCTGCGGTAGGCCATGTCGGACGGGAGGATCATGGATTGCCGCTTTGGCGTACGCTTCCAGTCATCCAGCCCTTGTCGATACGTTGGCCTTCTGGCTAGACCCCGAGAGGAGCCGTTCCAAGGCGACGCCCGGCCGGATTGGGATGAAGCTGCGGTAGAGGTGTAGGAGCCCTTGGAGTGTGGTCGGGAGCCGGAGTCAGAAAAGGTCATCGACGGATTCCGGCTGGAAACGGTGGGATATTCCGACAATTCGGTCGAGTCATATTCGCTTTCGGTCGTGGAACCATCCAAGTCCATCCCGGTCAGAGGGTCCGACAGCCCGGTAGGGGCTTCGGTGACGGGCTGCATCTCTGCCTTAGCTCGACCGTCCTTGCCAATCCGAAGGACAACGGACTGGGAGCGGCGGGGAAGACTAGCGGCGACGGAATTAGAGCGCTGTAAGGACTGCCGTTGGGGTTTGGTGGGAGAGGATCTTTTCGACGGGCTCTTCCGGATACCACACGCAGACGACATCATTCCACCGAACCCGGGACGCTGTGCGGATAGAGCACTCTGGGTGAGACTCCGAGTCAGCGTCGGCCGTGCCTGCCGAGGAGTGAAATCGTCGTCATCGTCATCGATGTACGTGGGCAGCTTCTGGTGCACACTCTGCGTGCGTCGAAGCTGCTCCCTTTTAGATTCTTCGGTCTGGTGGTGGTAGGGCTGCCGTCCCGGTCTCGAGAAAAGTCTCTTGTCCGGGGTAGGCTGGGGCCCTCCGAAACGACGGGCCGGAGAGCTCAAAAACATGGCGGGGTCTTCCGCCTTGTGAATGGGGATACGGGGGGAGGTCGAGAAAGGAGCGGGAAACAAGGCAGCATCGGTGGGTGCCGCCGAGGTGAGACCGTATGTATTGCTGTTGAACTCCGGCAGATCTAGGGTTCCCTCAATCGACGGCAATTGCGGAATGTGAGGGGCCTGGGAGAAGGTCGGGTTCATGTGAAATGACTCCGTCGTATGGGAATCAAAGAAGTCCATATTACTTCCGGACAAGCCCAAGTCGCCGCCTTGTGGCTCGAGGTCATGATCCCAGAACAGTCTCTGCTGCGGAAAGAAAGGAGACGCGGATGGATCAATCCCGGCCAGCTGGAAGGGGTCCGGAGACGTTTGGAGATCCCCAAACAGTCTGGGGGACGCTCCCATCAAACGACTTGGAGTTTCCAGATGGCCACCGATAGCGCTTGAGGCCGACGGCCGTCGTCCTGTCCCACTGACATTCTCCAGCCCGGTCACCTTTCTCCTCGAAGCACTGCTCGGCGGCGGGGTCTGCATGGAGGCAGCCGATTTGGTTGATTCCACCGTTCGGGGACCTTCGTCTTCAATATGTCCATTGGGTTTGGTCGCCCGGATGCGCTTGGCTGTGTCCGTCTCCTGCTCTGATTCCTTCAGGTTCCGTCCATTGGCTGACTCTACGCCCGTGTTGGGCAGTCGGAGCGGGTTATTCAACGGTGTACTCAATCCGAACTTCTGGGGGGTTCGGAGGAACTCTGGGCTCGAAGCATATGGATCCGAGGTGTCCCAGGTGACTCTGGGGTCGAAGAAGCTCGATTCGAGCTTGGGGGTTTGGAAGGCCGAATCGTCGAAGATCGTGGTCGGAGGGGTCCTCGTCGGTGTCTGAGGTTCGCCGTTGGGATAGCTGAAGCTGAACATGATGGCAGGCTCGGTCAGTTTCATCTCTCGGAGTAATGAGACGGAGCTCGTTTGGAGCTCCGCAAACCACCAACACCAATTTCCCAACCGTCTCAATTGGGTGTACGCCACACAACAAAATGAAAATACAATGGGAGTTGGGACAATTTAGGCAAGACGACAGAATCTGTCACAGTATTTCGATACGGAACTAGTGGGTGTAGAAACAAGCCCCGCCTGGGGGCAAAGGAATTAGGCACGGAGTAGATAGATTGACTAACATACCTGTGGACAGGGTGATCCCAACTCATGTCAGCAACGCAGTGATCCTAGCAACCATTCAACACAAGCTGCCAGGCAACCCTCTGGGGCGATGTCCAGATATTTGGGAGCCGTCCGGAATGTGAAAGTGGAGGGGTTCGGTAGGGATCGATTGGCCGATGAATGTACACCTCCACAAGCTCATTGAAGCCGAAGCTAGAAGGCCACCTAGCTCAGAGAGACGAAATTGACGAAGGAACCCCTCAGGAAAGAAAATAAAATGAGAAAAAAAAAATTCAAGGAACGGGAAATTAGAGCATAATCCTCTATCTTTGTAATCGGCGGCCCCAGGAGAAAGACCAAGAGGCGAGGAGGTCTGAGTGAAGATAGGGCGAGTGGGAAGGTGGTCGAAGGTTGGTAGGAAGGTTCTGATGGGAGCTCTCCTGGACAAAGGGAGAGAGTGGAGGAATGCGTACGGTGTGACCTGGCTGGGAAGCCCTTTATGATCGACTATTCTTTGACCCGAGACAGAGACAGAGACAGAGACAAGTTGACAGTCAAGTGGAAGAAGAAGAGCGTTGTGAAAGAAGGGGAAGATATCAAGCTCGACCGAAGGATTGGTTGCAAAGAGAGGGGATTTTTTCGAATGTTTTTCTTTTTCTCTGTTGGTAATTTAGTAATGATTTGACAGGTTTTTTTTTTATTACTGTCTTTTTATTTTTTATTTTCTTTTTGTATCCGCAGATCCACTGAATGGAGACCTTTTTTTTTTGGCACTACAAAATTTTTTATTTAATGAATTATAAAAATACCTATAAAAACGAGATCCGGATCTGCTGGGGAAAATAACAGTTAGTTAGTACAGGTACTTTTAATCCGTTCCGGGTAATACTTCGATCAGGCTGCGGCCAACCAAAAAAGAGCCATACGGGTTTAATCAAATCAAAAAGCCTCACCGTCCGATCGTCCTCCACTTTTCGAGGGCTAATGTCTCGTTCGGTGGAGACGACACCGGTTGGTGAAGGAACAGAGATGAGGCAGACATGGATAGCTCAAGGCTACTACCATCCTAGGAAATGCGTTGACGGTCCTCGGTTGACCGTTATACTCCAGTTTAGGGTTGTGTGTGTGTGTATGTGTGTCAGCTGTGTTGTATGGGTGGATAACAAGGGAACTCGGAATTCTGGAACTGTGTAGGGTCGGGTCTGGTGAATGGGGAGGTTTTTTTGCAGTTGCCATGGTTGTCCAAGAGAAGTGTACATACAATAATTACAGAACTCCCAGAAAAAGTTGACGTACGATGGATATACATCCGATACTACGAATCCAACCGGTACCTCTCCCGCGGGTGGGACAAATCAAGCAAAATGACCGGAAGAAAGAGAAATTTGAAAACGGAAAGAGTATACAAAAGAACAATGGAACTGCAAAAGGAGAGAGAGAGGGTGTGTGTGTGTGTACCTGACTCGAATGTCTACAACGGAAAAGCGTAACCCTACTACCCCAGGGAAACATGCAAAGTGAAAGTTGATATCCCAAGATGATTGATCTCACTGTTCGACGAATTAAGCCCGTCTGGGAGCGTCATTGGTTCCAGAGACAAGGAACGGCCGCCTGCCTTTCCGTGGATCGTCTGGGCTCCATCATTTCATTCGAGCACGATCTATTTGCTGGCTGGTTTTGGTTGGTCTGACTTGCAGCCCGTCTCCTCTTTTGGCCCTTGGGACCTATAGTAGTACTCCGTAAAGGTCCTTTTTGGCCCAGCGAGGTAGTATCATACTATACTATATCCTTCTCTCCGCATGAAACGAGCCACCTCCGTGACCAAAAGGTGTGCTGCTTTCCTCTCGTGAACGAGAGGATTGAGAGAAATGAAAAAGAATCACTCGACAACGAGAGAGCATAAGGTTTGAATAAAATCGAAACTCCTTACGAGGTCCGACGCCGATCCAAACCCCATTCGGTGACGACAAGACTGACCCTGGTTACTACCCTAGTCAGAAGTTATACTCCTACAAGACGACGTAGACTAACTGCTAGTTACTGGACTGCTCGACGACGGACTGACCCTCGGACTCCCTTTCAACCCGTCGGCCAACCAGTGGCCTCTCGCCCCAAAGTCAGGCCTGGGGGGGGGGTTTTTTTTTGGTAGTTTGGGATTGTTGGAGTTTTGGATTTATTTTAATTTTAATTTTTTTTTTCAGCTCCAGCCTCCTCTTTCGATCGGCTCTGGGCCCCCCACGGGCTTCAGGACTGGAGAACGATGGAACCGAATGACGACATCCGGGTGGTACTTTCTACTATGAACCTCGTACGCGTTCGGCGTTTCCCTGAAATCGATACCCAGGGCACCTTTTTCCCCGGAAGAGGCGTCTTTACTTTATTGAACGAACTCACTAACTAATATTATGGATTCATTCTCTTCGTAATTGACAGAAAACGGACAAATGATGACGTTAGCGATTACAGTTCCAACCGTTAGTTTCGGAATATTTAATTGAGGTGAAAGACTATTTATTCGAGGAATGATTCTCGTTATCTAGACCGCTAGAGTTCCCCCGGCGATTTCAATTTCATCACCCTTCCTTCCCCCCGTGACCGACTCCAACTAATATTACCCGTTTGGGCCTAACCACATTTCAGACGATCGGACATGAGGCGACATTCTAGACTCTCGACTGGCGCTTTCCAAGTTGCCCCCTGTCTGGCCAGCCTGATGGGGCTCGAAACTCCCGGTCAGCACTACTACTCGTAGTACGGTGTATTCACTCACTGTCAGGGCGTCAGCATGGCTCCTGGGAAATTGGATATGCCCCTTCCGAGGTTGCTCCAGGGTGTGTGTGACGTTTAAATTATGAAGCTACGACTAAAATCCAGCTATTCCATTTCCACCCGGCCATCTCCTTCCCCCACAGCGATTCTCGTCACGGTCGGTATGACTCCTAACTTAAAGTCTTGACAGCAACAGCAAACAATGCGAACCGAAGATGGCTAGTGCTGCACGCGAGCATTGGGACCTGCAGCGAACTAGCGGCCTGCGGTGTAATCCCGCAGTACTAGTAATAGCTGTACATCGTGCATACGCTCGATGAATAATGGCCATCCCCCCTGACATGGCGGCGCTGCAGCCTGGGTGATTGCCTAACCACCTGTTCTTGGATTTCTTTTTTTTATTTCTTCGTTCTCACCACGCCACTCCCCGAGTTCGGTGGACCTGGCGAGTAAAGTTGAGTTCATCGGTAAGGAGCTCGATCTGCCAAGATCAATATTGCTGGTCTTCTTTCAGCGATCAACATCCTGCATACCGCTTTGGTCAAGTTGCCAGCTGTGCCGGCGGCCCTATTTATATTTCCCCCGTTCCTGCCACCACAGTTGCGTGGGAGTAGTATTGAACATGACCGAGATGCTTTGGCACACCCCTCAGTCGCGTCTTGATGCTATCATGGGCAGGATACTCTAGGAATTTAAATATCTTACGCGAAACATTGACTGGGTACCTCTCGCTTCGATTGACCATTTCCATTCCCAACCGGCTGGATTCGGCTCGGACAAGTCCGGTTTAGGAGGATCTAATCTCAATCTTGAACTCTCAATGGCTTATCGTTCAAAGTTATCTATAGTGGTTCTTTGATAAGCGACGGAAAAATTAACTTCCAACATGCACGATTTGGACCGGCCCAAGGAAACTCTATAGAACGATTCTTCATAAACTAAACCAAAATGTGAAATCCCCAAGACATGGTCAAGCACCAACAGACTTTCGATCTCATGCTCGAAGATCGATCATACTAGTAGTCACATCGTGTTTTGGCAGGTGCCCACCGCACCTTGCATCGACATGTCTCTCCCTCGTGCCGGGTAGATCCTTGAGATCTGATATCTGTACATACTACGTACGATTCCGTACAGAACCCCTATTGCCCCTGCGGGTTAAGGTTCCTGGGGATACGATTGTCTCTTATTTGTCCCACTACCCCTCTAGGGCTGCACCCCTAGAACAGCGTTGCTTTGGGATACCATGGGCGGCATCCCAACGCTTGACAAATCACATGGCCCGATCGTCGAAGTGCGCATCATGTCCTTTTCTTTTTGGACTATCTCGAATGGACTATTTAGATAGAAACACACACTCATGCAAGATTTGATTCATACTAGCCCCTTTATCGGATCTTTGGTTCTCTTGTCTTCACTTTTTGTCTTCACAGTGGAAGTGTATTAGGTTGTGGCTTCGACTGGAGGTGTTTGTAACTTTGTATTCTAGATATAGATAGTATCCATGGTGATCCTTCTGTTGGTTATGCATTCACGGTCTTGTAGGACAAATGACTGGTTTATCCCGTCTGGATTATTGGGTTCATTGGTTGGTTGCGTAGACAGACCTTGACTGGTCTATCGCTCTAGCATTTCCATATTTCGTCCTTTTCTCTTTCTAAGACTAGGTGGAGCCCATGGCCCTAGTTTTCTGATATCTGGCTTTGCTCATTGTAAGATGCAGGATGATACCAAAATCAATTCGTATTCCTGATAGTACATAGTACACGTATCGTACATTAATGTCTGGAATCTGGTATACTTCGTAGATTTACCATTTTTTCAAAACATAATGATGTATCTACGATCGTATGAAGCCCGCCTGCAAAGTACTCTGAATACACCAAGGCTTAATTTCCAGCATTTCTCGCTGGAACGGGACCACAACTTGCTTTTACCAGTAGAAACGTGAACATCGACTATTCAAGTGTTGCCATGAAAGGGCGGAATGTTGATAAGTCGGTCGGCAAGGAAAGTAGCTTCAAAAGAGACCATCAACGAACAGCATCTTCGTGCTGATGGCCTTGGAGCATTGTGTCCAGCTAGTATCTATATTTAACGGAAGGTCGAGGAGAACACTGAAAACTCACCATTTACAAAACAGCCCATATATTACAGATACTACACAGCCTGCCGCTTTTGAAATGGGCGGTTAGATCAAAAGAAGGCCAGCCAACAAGATCGAAAACAGAAGCTATAGCATGACACCCGAGCTTCTGTGGTCAGGCATCACTGAGATAACTACCAGGTACATCATTTTATGCTAGCTCTGAATAAGCCTCGGAGTGAACCAGAAGGAAAAGAGTTTTTGATGGAGGGATTTCCAATCCTCTACCACCTTCTATCTGGGTCGACGGGAACGGTTTCGATTTGACTATCGGACTGCGAGTCCAGTATAAATGTTGCCACCATTCTAGAAACTGTCTTCAGGAACCTGTGGTCAGGATGGTGACAACAAATAATTGAAGATCCATTCCCCATGTATTGCGCAGAGCTCTTTCGAGTATAAAACAGAACTCGGTCGACCTTCAACTATGAGCAAGGTGCTGAACAGATCCCTTCACGTCCCTTCGAGAGTTTAGAAAAAAATGATTCAACAAACAGGACCAGCATCTGTAATTCGTAATGTCGGAGACTGCCAACCGTGTTTTGTCAGCTCATAGCACCTTGGTAAACTTCGTCTGACAGGTCAAGTGCTGCTTACTTGAATCAGCTAGGCGAGCTGGGCCTTAGAGCATAAAAGCTTATTCCCATGAGGTACATCCGTCTTTCATGGTTCAATGTATCGGTTCTAATACTGTTATTCAGACAATTATCGGTCGGCTATTCTGCTGGTAGTATTCAAGTCCTCCGGGTATACTCTATACTAACCCGCAGAAGTGACAGTGGGAACTCCAACCACTGCGGACTCATAACAGAGGGTCTTAGTAAGCCAGATAATGCCATTGTTTCCCCACCAGTCTTGCTCTCGAGAGTGTGGAGTTCTTGGACCTGTACCTGTCAGATGGATTCCGGACCAATCTGACGTCCTCAAAAGGTCTATACGTCGCGGACACCTCAGGCATACAGGTACCAGCCACAGCCCTCAGCCACCAGTTCCCCGCGGAATCGGTGACCGCTCGGAATTGATACGCGAGGGTTTTGGGCAGAAAAGCGAAGATCGCTCATCTGGCATACATACTACTAGTACTTTATGCATAACCCATACTCCATACTCATTGCATGATTGAATGCCGCGAGGCTTGATCCCCAAAATGGATTATTAAAACGGACTACGTCAAGCTACATGTCCACGTCATGGCGACACCTTCTAGTTTCTCCGTTTGTGTCGGCCGTCGCTCTTTCTCTCCCTTATCAATCCCTTGGTGTTATTACTAGTTCGATGATAGCAGCCGAACTCGAGACTAGTACATCAAGCACTTCAGAACCATCTATTATTACGAATATCATATTGTGGCCACTCTCTAAATTAAGCTGGATCTCGCCCTTGATCTTCACCATATTTTATCTAGTCTCCATTTGGAAAAGAACATGGTGTCTGCGAACAGAATCTCCCGGAGACGTGCTCCGAGGAGATTGGGGGGCCGCCGAAGGAATCATCCGAAAACCTTTACTCCGCCGAAATCGCCTCAGTCCATCCTAGCTCACGCTCGCAGAAATAGTCTCACGAGCAGACGTGGCCGTGGAGGGCTCTTCGGTGCCGGTAGTAACAACAGAACAAACCACGCAGAGCGTAAAGTTGGGGGACGGACTTCGAAGTATTCCAAGTTCGGTTTGATCCCCCGCTCAACGGAGCCGTTCGAAAAGGTGTGTGTGCTTTCCTGCGCTATTAAATGCTGGGTTGCGGTTTGCAACCCTCTCCGCCTATCCCTTGCCTAACCTGCAGCTGCTAGCGTATGTAAGAATCATGACTCGCTAACAAGAGTTCGCGTCCAGAACTGTTTTGAAAAGGAACCATTTGCCACAGGCTATGTGTTCGTTCCCAAGGGCGATGTCTATGTTACTCGCAATTGTCGAACGAACACGAAGGAATCTGAGCGCACAGTCTATACCGTTTTTGTAAGGGATGATGTTGCCCCGTTAACGATTAAGGTTCTAACCAGCTGCAGGACAAGACAGGGAAGAGGACCCTCGGTATCCGTGTACCATCTGACGTCTACGCCGATGTTCTCAAGTCTGCGGCTGCGACCGCTGAGATGCGCGCCAATGCTGTCAAACTTCGCGACGAGAAAGACCTGGCTCACTCTCGAAAACTCCTCTGCACTCAATTCCCATTAATGCCCGCGGAATCTCTGGAGGCGATTCTCAATCACGCATTCCTCAAAGGTTCCGGCCGAGTGGGACGCACGGCGACCAAATCGGATGAACGCAAAGCTGATTTGGCGGTAGAAGCTCATATTCGACACACACATACCCCGTACGAATCCATGCTCCATGCGGGGGCGAGCCGTGAAGAAGCCCGAAACGCAGTCTGGGGATTGATCAAAGCCATCAAGACCGCATGGGCAGGCGGTGATTCTCAGCCTATGGATGTGCTGGCTCTGCGCAACCGGATGGTGGAATCGAATTGATGGCTATTCAACATAATTCACTCCATGTATTCCAACGACGGACGCCGAACCCATCATAATTGATTTAAATATTCTCTTGCAGTAAGATTATGGGCGTCAACACGACGCTCAGAGCAACGATTTCATGGCTCTACCGAAGCAGGACGGACGAAGAAGAAAGAGAAATGACTTGTTACGAAGACATGAAAGATACCCTATGTTCTTTGGCATGCATAGACTGCATTTGCACAACAATGTTATGTTAGACTCAGCAATAGAGTGGCAGTCTCCCCATCAATGGTGACTTGGACACACTCATTAACGGTTTTGTTATTATCACTAGCTTTATGAATTGAGTTCTGCAATGTTCAATCTGAGATGCTTCTAGCTAAACCAAACAATAATCATGCCATTCACCACTCATCTAAACCCCACAATAAGTCCCAGGATTGTCTTTATTCGGGAAAGCAGGCTTAACGTTCGAAAGAAAACCCTCCCAAGAACAATACCCAGCATCCGTAACAGAAACATCATTGACGTCCCCGGAGCGACCAGGAGCAAAAACATCAACCATACAACACCCATCCAACAACGCCGGGAATCCAAACTTCTTCTTCCCCTTCTCAGCTACATCTTCAAACGCCATATTGTATATCCACGCTTCCTTGAACACCTCTTCCGCCGTCTGGGCCTCGGACGGGAAACCCCAATACACCCTAATGCGATGGTGAGGAGGATTGCCCTTCGGATTGGCGTAACACGCCTCACCCATTGTCATTCTACGCTCCAGCTCCCGTCTAGAAGCTAAAACGACATCCGCTGGGTCCAGGGGGTTCGTCCACGGGTCAATGTCGAGGTAGATCGCGACGGTGTTGGTGTGCGTTTCGACGCTGAGGCCGGCGTCTCGGAGGGTTTCTATGCGCTCGGCGTCGAAGGCGCTGGCGGTTGCGCGTTTGAGAGGCTTGATGGGTGTGCTTAGTGTGGCCATTCTGGGGGTTGGTGGTTCTGGTCTTTCTTGGGAGTATGTGTTGTGGTTTGGTTCGGTGTGAGTTAGGGTTGTGGTTTGGTAGGGATCGAGAGGAGGGTTGGCTATGAGGGCTGGTGGAAGCTGGTGGGAATGTGCAAGTATTTATACCTAAGGGGCTTGGGGGTGATGTATTGTTTAGCCTTGAGAAGTTGTAGTTGTCAAGGTCAAAGGCTTGGATGTTGAGAGTTCATTGTTACTTTTATAGAAGTGGTTGTACGAGATACGTATTATTAGGCTTTGATCATTATTGTTCGTTCCTAGGTATGCTTTATCACTAGATTTAGAGCATAAAAAATATTTATTTGCAGTATCCATGATGCTAGAATGAGAATGAACTCAAAGACGTTTATAGCGCACCGAAATGATATTCAAAGAAGCATAATAACATCAATCGAGAAGTTCAACGATGTGCATATTGTCATTTTTCTCCCATCTTTATAAAATAATCACCTCCAACAAATATATCAATAGACCGAAACCAGTCAGTCCACCTGGCCCCATGCTAGCCGTTTAATCCCGGCCTAAATAAACCACATGGGTGACCGTGGTTCTGAACATGCTTGGTTGATATGCTGACTCGAACTCCGGTGCCTCGAATACCAGACAGCAATCGGCATCATCGTCCCTCAGCTCAATCGGAAGCTCAACGTTGCATAATTCGGGTAGAGACAGCATTCCATAAATGAGGTTAGGTAACTGTGTGTCAAACAGCTCGGCGGCATGGTAGTCCGTGGAGAACATGAAACATATCCTCTGCTTATCCTCATCCAAAGGGTTTTCTCGGGGCCATGGATGGCCCCTACATTCACCTGCTTGGACTCTAGACAGTTCGTCTCTGCACCTCGAAATGGTTTCTGATGCAGAGCATGGCCGCCGTATCTTGGGTATGGTCGATGAAGACGCAGACGTAATCCTGGTCAGTTTACGTCGAGCATGACATCCGCACGCAAAAGACCTAACTTGCGCCCAATTTCACCTCTCGGTGCTTGTTGATCTTTGAGTAGGGATATAAGATTATCCTCGTCGCGTTGTCTGTTTCTGGCTGTCCAGACCCAGACCGGGTCGTCTATCGTCTCTCGTACTTCTTGGGGCCCTGGTTGCTTGCATTTTAATTTGTGTCTTGTGATCATGGTGCGGATCTCAGAGTGGCCGGAGGTGTTTGAGTTGTTGGATAAGGGTCTACAGAGATGGGGCGGAAATGGATTCATCTTTTATACTTGTAGATCTTCGGGATATGCACGTTTTTCTGTATTTTTATGCCTGTAGACAGAAGGGAGGCTTCCATCTTCCATCGCAAAGATGAATCTTGGAGGCCTTAGGAATGGTAAGTCCAGCATGATATCCTACGATTCGACTTGAATCAAGATAGCTTCAGACACTAGATGCTCTCTTTCCCGGTGATTATAGAGGCCTCACGGTACATGCAAGGATTTTGCCGGGGGAGATTTCCAACGTGGCAAATCTACTGCCAAAGTATAGGATTTTCCATGGCATAAAAGTAATCTGAGGAACTTACAGATATTGTTTTCCTGTTTTTATTCTCGAGGCTTCTTCCGCTTTGGATATCTGTGGCAAAGCTTCCATTGTCACAGGATATTTGCGTATAACAAAGATAAACCCCGACATTATATATAGTTTTCCTGTCATAAATATCGGGAGAGTCTTTGTAATACTCAGGCTCCACCTATTTTTGATTATTGTAGGGCCCAGGCTCATGTATTTGTGCGATATAAAAGGCAAACTGATGATTACTGGTGTGTACTCGAAGAAAAGTTATCTGTCGCTAGTACTTAAGCATACATTCCATGATCAGAATATAGAAAATGGTTCCATTGTAGATAGCAATTGGCAACTGCATACACATGTTCTCCTTCAGCAGAAGCCCCTAACCAGCAACAATACTGGAAACAGTAGAAACAAGCAGCCATACAGTCCACCAGGTATCCAGACTCTTCAACTTGAAGAACGAACGGGGGGTCAAAGAGATTTAGCTTTGATGTTGCTAGGCGACCTATTCCATTCGTTGATCTTATCAATTTTTCCTTCCTGAAACACATAACTACCATTATACTTAATCGGAAGAGTCAGTGTTCGACCTTCTTCGTCCATCTCCTCCAGGTCCTGCTCAATCCCATCAAAAAGTCTGTTCAAGTCGCAATCAAGCACCTCCGCCTGAGTCTCCGAAGATGTTTCAAACTCGAAACAGATCCTCTGTTTTCCCCCAGGAACTTCGTGTGACGGGTGTACCATGTGAGAGGAATTGTTCCTCGGGATCTTGTCTGCTTCTTTCCTGGATTCCTTAATGGCATAGAGGGCATTGACATTTCCGGTGTCACTCCAGGGTATATGGAAGAAGAGGGAGATGCGCTCTCTCGTGACCAGGTCGACTACGACCCATTGCTCAAAAAGACACAGTATTCCGGGCCGATCTAGCTTTAAAGCCATATGAGAATATGCCTCATGCTCCCTCAGCTCTCTCCGAAATTCGCTGATCTCTCTGCCAAAGTCCGTTGGCTTATTCGGGGGGGCCCGTGATCTGACTCGCCAAGCTCGCTCTCTTGCAGTGGGTTCTGGGGATTGAGACCCTGACACTTGAGTTCCCATCTCGCTCGGTGTTTCATTGTGCTCCATCTTTAAGACTGGGCTGTGTGAGTTTTGCTTCTCCGGTCTGAATGGCGATAGACAATGAAGAAATATGACTGAGGTGGTAGCCAGAGACGAGAAGAATTCAGCCGAGGACATACTGATATTTATACATGAACTTGGAAGCTATCCGCTCTAAGGAGGACACACATGAGGATCACGAGAGACCATCTGAACTCTTCTATATGGCAAGATCCTAGTGAAATTGCCAGTAACTGGCATCTTGCAAGCTTCATGCCTAGAGTTATTGGTATATCGAAAGTTCGCAGAGATCCCAGATGGAAACACCCACACATGAGCCTCTCCTTTCTGGAAACTATTATAATAGAGCTCAGTGTCTAGAGCAGCAGACGAGGGAACTCCCTTCGAAGCCTAAATATGCCGGGGCATATTCCGAGTCCACGGCAAGGTCCATCAGTAGGGCTACCACCATACGCCACCTTCGACTCTACGCACAGGTATTCTCCCAAGCAAGCGGCAAAAACCTTGGTTATTACGTACATCCATAAAGATGGCATTTCCGGTTGTAGCATGGCAACGCACTCAATATCGACTACCCTCCGTGGTCATTTCCAATAGCTATCTTCAAGCATTATAGATTCTAGTTTCAAAGGCTCTGATCATTAACAGAGATGACGCTCAGCACCATGATCAGCAGCACCAAAAGTCGCGGGTGCGGTCGTAAAGGTAATGATGATACTAAACAGCAAGCCGTCTCTCATTCAAGTACAGACTCCTAAGCTCAACAAACATGAAAAAGAAAGGTGAAAAGAAGGTATCAGTATAGTCTGCTGAGTTTCCAAGCTCTTCAATTCGCAACATCAATGCATCCTTGTCACTCTACGGAATACACTAGGATTGTATCGATGGAAGCCCCAGGTCGGGTTGGAAGGAAATATGTATAGATTCCTGAATTCAATGGGAAGACGGCCCCAACGCAAATCACCATGCATATATAATTCCCGGAGCATGTAATACAGCCCCTGAAGTACCTCGCCACTATGTCTAGCGGTGGTCGCGAACGTGAAGCAAATTCGCGTAAACCCCGGCCCCAAAGCAGCTTGTGGATGTCCAGGGTAGATGCCGCAGTTCCAGATAGTGGGATGGGTATAATACTCAAGGTCATTGGGGCTTTGCGGGAGGCCAATATGGTCCTCGGCGACGTCCTGGTATCTTCTTTCCAGTTCGGTAATGGAAGAACGGATGAGTTCTGCGGTCTGGTATGCATTTGGCACGTCAACGAAGACGCACACGAGGTTTGTGTTGTTGGCATCGACCATCACTCCCTCCATGAAAAGCGTTTCCTTGCGCATCTTCTCCTCCGGGGATATATAGACCGCATGGCCATGGCTGAAATAATCAATGAGGCCTGCAGGATCTGGTGGGTCGATGACTCGATTGTGTGCGTCTAAGGGGGCGCAGAAGAAAGTTGGCTCTCTTGGTGCTAGGGGCCGCATTTTGTCTGCTGGTTTTGGAAGGGTTGTCTCCATGCGGTCCCGAATCTTTGTTGCATAATGCATACTAAAGACACGCTAATACTATTCTCCAGCTGGGCCTTTCAGCTCAGCAAACACAGCAATGAAAACAAAGCAACACAGGGGGATTATTCAACAGCATTCAAATTATACAATTCCAAATAGCTGAATCTTTGAAGATCTCGAATGAGTCAGGGTAGAATCTCAACAAGTTCCAGAGTGTTACCATCCCGAAACATATAAGCTTATCAAACCAGACCAATAGATAAACTCGCTCTTTAACTCTCGACTGATTCTTCTTAAGCAAAATACCGTCAAGCATGCTGCGAAGTACTGAACTTTAAACGAAAGAGACAAGCTGATAGATACCAATGGTAGTATTGAAGAACAATCGTAGCATATATTATGTTACATGCACATCATCCCTCTCAAACATGGGCCCCCCGGTTCAAGAATTGAATACAACGAGATATCCATGCAATCTAGTATTATGTCTATCCTCGTGTTCTTTCTCGTTCTATTGCTCTGCTCCAAGCCGGAGAAAAGGTTTCTTTTGACACACCTAGCGGGTTCCTGTCGTAGACATAACCACGGTCTAATCGCCACAATGCAGGCTCAGTCTGGGCCACCCGGAGTCCTTTACCGAGGATCACTGGCAGATCTGAATCAATCAACCTATTCTCGAGGTATACATCGACAAGATACAGTAGTTCCTCATACACCATTCTACCGTTGTCCGCCTTGGTGTAAAAATTGTAACTAATCCTCACAGACCCATCCTCAACTGGCTCAGTTGGAATGAGCGCATCAACGGGCTGCCCATGGTGCTCTGCAGCATCAAGTTTTATCTGCAGTTCCTCTTTAGAATCAAGGAGACATCGGCGGGCTTTGAGAGGGCGTCTCTTGGGTATGTCGACGAACACACAGACCAGATCATGCAGGCTCGCATCGACCGTGATACCGTCGATCAGCAGAGCCTTTTTGCGGGCGATGGCATTCTCAATAGTGGGTTCATCAGCTCCCGGTTCGTCCTCCAACTCACGAAAACATTGACGTATCTCTTGATGTTCGAGTATATCCATGCATCTTTTTAGTTTATCTCTGTCCTCGGTTGCCGGCTTCACGTAGTATATAGGGTCATGTCGTAGCTGGGCTTTCGATGGCTCAAATGATGATGGGCCACTCATGGTGTATATAGACCAATGCTTTCTGAAGTTGCTTGGTTCCTCTTGCAGATGGATATCAATATCGCCAGTGGAAGAATTCAGAAATAATAACAGCAAAACTGGAAAATGCCCAACGAAAACATCACAGAATTTATACCCGCGAGTCAGGGAAGCGCCTGTTCGATCTAAAAAGGGCACGTTTTAGACCGTTGGACTGTTGACAAATTCAGCATCATGTTACACGATACTTGTGTACCGCAGAAGATATCTTTAGACACTGAGACACGCCAGGTGCCGTTTCTTCGGTGCCATGACGGGAGCCATAACAATCAAGGTTTCTGTAGCTTGGAGCTATGATAACTACCGAGCTCCATGCTCATGAACCAACCCATGTAACCTTGGTCTTGCTGATGCTGACGTGGTCTGAGTAGCTAGTTGTGGCACCTTGAGGGGCTTCAAAGGTCGTTTGTCTTGTGTCTTCTGGGGTGTGGGAGTCAGTTCCGCAGCGTAAGGGGTAGGGGTGCATTTGTAGTGTTCTCGGCCACGGGTGTTTCTGATAATCTCTGTATGCTGAGATATTTATGTGGACCAGTTGCGTAACCGCTCTATGAGATCGTTTGCTAGTTTTCTCGCTCGGATCCGTCCATGTGGAGTGGAGCTAAACTTTCTCTTATGGAGGTGTCGTAGCGCTGTGTTCGATCCTACGATAAGTAACTTAGGGTTTCCTAGGTTGCAGAGGCATTTGCCAGACTCTGCGTATCCTATTCTCGTGACATACATGGGGTTTAGGGCTTGATGGTTTCGTGGGACTAAATCGTGTTACGTAGAAACAGCCCATGAACGGAGCAACAAAAGGGTTGGGGATCGACTATGTACAGAATGCTTAAGTATCATATAGTAAAAACATAATACAGTCGGAGTGAAAAGAACGCTGGTTTCCGTATAATCACTGTCATGTCCTCGTATAATCACGTAACTCCAGCTCCTCATAAATCTGTTGGCCAGAGCTTTGGGAATATGGTTCTCTTCGGCGTACTGTCCCTAGGAGTGACCATATCACCATCCATACCTCCGCAATCCCTGGTTTCGCCAAAGAACAGCCGTAGGAACGTGGCTCCCTCTGAACCCACCTTCGTAGTCGAGTTTCGTGGGCGAGGTATTTTCTGAAAGAGACTTGGAGAGTCATTGTGACACATATTCCAAATCTTCCCTTCTAGCATTGTGGAAGTTATTTGCAAGGACTCTAAAAGATTTTCCTTGGCTATGACATATCTTCCAGCTATAGAATAAGAGAGCCTCTTGAATTACCCAAAGAAATATTCCATCCAGCCCTTCCTCCAGGTTCTCCCAAAGCGATGGTTGATGCATGCATGTTTACTGCGGAAACCCTCGGCACCACTGTGTCTTTGTCCATTTCCCCATACATTCACAGGCAGGACGCAGACACCCCCCATGGACTTTCCATCCATGGACTCCGATGCGTCCACACAGACCGGTTCTTTGATTCTGTTGAACGGGGCCCACGTCACTCGCCTTTGAGTCACCCCAGTAGACGGCGAAACGAGATCTCCAATGTCCGCATCCGCGTTCACAGACGATTCTACCAAGCTGTGAGTCGGGGGCAGCGTCTGAGACAGTACATCCAGAACAGCATCAGTAAATACTCCAGGTCCGGTGACCTCCAGAATCGTGTTTTCCTTGTAGCGTGGCCCGCGCAGGAAGTTGCTTTGGTTAATGTGTCGCCGTGTGTGGGCCATGACTCGAACAATCACCTCCCGGAGTATTGGGCTAAAGCGTCGCGGCGCATACATAGTGTACTGGATCAACTGGTAGCGTCTGATCCAGCGCCACTCGCGCATGAGCCGCGGGGAGGCATGTGGCTCGTCGATTTCAGTACCTACAACCAGAGAAACATTCAGTCCTTTGGGCCCATCTTCCCAGAGCGGCTCTAATGCCGGGCATTCCTTGATAGCGCGGGCAGGGTAAACGTCCATGTCTGCGTAGAAGCCACCATGGTACCATAGAATCAGATATCGGATCAAGTCCGAACGGATAACATGGTACGGATAAGAATCATACAGCTTCTTGAGATCTGGCACGCTCGAGAAGGTCTCGGTAATGAATTTGGATGCTTTTTTGTCATCCACGAGCTGTCAGATCTTAGTATGCAGTCCGAGTGGTTCTGTGTGAATAGCCCTTACTGAATACGTCCATCCTCTATTTTCTTCCTCGAACTCTAATGAATCTGATTCTCGCTCGATGTATTTACCCAGCGCAACTTGCCAGATTCGATCTTCGGCGGAGGTATCCCAATTTCTTTCGCGTAGGGCTTTTCTCTCTATCTCTAGCAGGGCATCCGATATCCTCTTCTCATATTCTGAATCAGGGTCCTCGCGAAAGGAAGAGAGATGCAGAAATCGCGGAGTAGTATCCACATCATATTTGGGAGCTTTTCTATTAGAACTAGTATGGTTCTTGGTCTTTGGCGGAGGTGGGAGATGGTAAAGGACAAGGTAGATCAAGGCCGCCAACAACAAGAAGACCAGCTTTCGGCCACTTATCGATAGCTTCCTCTGCCTTTTTGGAATCGTCGCCATGGGTTGTTGGATAGAACGAGCGGATGGAGTTAATCGCCAAGTTTACGGGGGGGAAACAAGCCTTGGACAAGAAAAAAGAAGAAATACGGAAGTGGCTCCAGATTTCTTGGTCTGACTTCAGGGGACGCATGCTGGCTTAGAAAAATTGTGGAGCAATAGACAAAGAAAGCACCGATCGACTTCATATGATTAGAACCAGGGTGCCCTATTGCCAAATGGTTGTTATTGGTGGTTCCATGAATGAGTAATATTATATTCAGTTGTCTTATTTGGTAGGGGTCTGGTTGAACCAAATCAGAATGGGAAGGTTGAGTCGGAGATCTTTCTGTTCTTTGACTTAGCTATAGTGGGTCCTGCCACCCACCGTCTAAGCCTTCAACGTAAGATAGACTTAATTATCAACTTCCCCTTCTTGTCATATTCACCTTCTCCGGAAGCATACTTTTGTTTGCCTTCCTTTTTGGTTGCCTGGACGCCACAGCATTACAGTATTTGTCGCCGTCACCGTCATATCATATCCGAGACCTCGAACGACAATCTTTACTGGATTCTCAAACACGAAGAGTCCCTGCTGATGTAAGATTACTATAGAAGATCCCTGGAAATATCCACAGTGGGGGCCAAACTGCGCCGTGCCAATTCCCATTTTAGCATGAATATGGGCAAAAAGGCGTCCAACCCATGGCTCGCGCTGACACTGTGGGCCCTCTCAATGAAGTATCACCCATTGGAAACACCTGGCTGCGAGACACCCTAACGGACTATCTCTACTAGATTGAGTCTAGCGCTGCAGGTTTCACCTCTGACATTGCGAGCTCCGAGTACGTATTGGCACAGCGAGTGTACAGACATGGGTTAAAGAGAGAGGAGTGTGGCAGGCTGAAGAATGTGTATCTGACAGGTGTGCTCACTATGCTAGCCTCCGTAGGGTATGAAAGCGTATAGATTATTCACAAGATCTCATTTCTTGATTTTTATCATCTATGAGGCTAAGTTTGATATGAAGTTTAACATCAATCTTCTTATTTCTCGGTCATCGGAGCAGCGATGTCTATAATAGCGCCTCTGTCCATAGTACGAGAAAACAACCATATCCATGTCACATACAACTTCTGATTCAGTCACGAGTGAAGAAATTGCTTCTAAATTTACGGTGTCACTCCTACTATCGATACTACTAGTAGTTGACAAGTGAACGGTTACGGTGTTATAGATAACAAATAGTTATTGAAAGCTTTGCCAGGTGCGATCCTATTAATTGTGAATCTGTATCCTAGTGCATACTTAATAACTTCGTAAATGAAGATAGCAGAAATAACCCCAGTTCAACTCGAAAATCTGCCCATCTCCGCATCATCTCGCATTCCTGATAAATGTAGGGCTAGGGCTACGCTATTCCCCATTCGGAGCGGCAGAAGCAAAACCTATCTGAAGCTCCGACAGTCCGCATCAGCCAACTGCTATCGCTCCCGCTTCAACTTGACATCACCTTCCCCGCTCTCTTTCACAATGGAAGGCGCTGACATTGTTGAGTCGCCGCGTAAGCGGCAGAAGGTTGACAATACCTCTACGACAGATGAAGCTACACTCCCCCCTTCCGCGGCGGCACCTGCGGAAATCTCCGAAAGTGACGCTCAAGCATTGAAGGAGGCCGAAGTCGGGATTACCGAGTTCGTTAGTGCAGAGAATGCGGGATTTTCTGGAATTTTGAAGAAGAGGTATTTTCCCCAAGAAAAGGGGGGAAGCCATTAACTGATTGGAATTGCTTTTATTCCAGGTATACCGATTTCTTGGTCAATGAGATCGTTCCCTCGGGCGAAGTGCTGCATCTTAATACCCTTGCTGGACCTCAGTCGGAACAGAATAACAATGACTCTGGGAGTAAGACGGAAACACCAGTGGAGAGCAAGCCACAGGGGGAATCGGAAGCTGCGATTGCGAGCGATGCCACACCCAACGCGGAGACACCGGCGGTCGAATTTAAAATCTCAGATGAGGACAAGGCGCTGTTGGATTCTTATTTTGGCGCCGATCACGCTAAGAAGATTATATCGCTGTATAGACGCGCCCAGTCCAATGAGAAAGCCCGCCCAAGTGAATTGGGTAGGCTTGCAACCGTTATTGTAAACGATCGCGACCTGCGCATCAAGATGCACCAGGCGATCCGTCGCATCTTCAATTCGCAGATTGAGTCTTCTACGGACGGTGAAGGCTTGATGACCATTTCGGTCGCTGCAAACCGAACCAAGCGCAAGGCGCAAGGTGCTCGCGAGGGTGGCCGCAATCAAGGTCGTGTCAACTGGGATGAGCTCGGAGGCCCCTATTTGCATTTTACTATCTACAAGGAGAACAAGGACACTATGGAGGTTATATCCTTTATCGCGCGCACCTTGAGGTTGAATCCCAAGAGCTTCCAATTTGCCGGCACTAAGGACAGACGTGGAGTCACGACGCAAAGAGCTTGCGCTCACCGCGTGCATGCCGATCGACTTGCGAAACTGAACTCGACCCTCCGCAATGCGGCACTCGGCGATTTTGAGTATCGCAAGTACGGCCTTGAACTAGGTGATCTCGCCGGAAACGAGTTCGTTATCACACTCCGCGAATGTGAGATCCCAGGCCTTGATCTCCAAGATCGTGAAACCGCCATTAAGAATGCCACCGAGCGCGTGGGATCGGCTTTGCGAAACCTGCGTGAACGTGGCTACTTCAACTACTACGGTCTTCAGCGTTTTGGAACCTTTGCTACGCGGACGGACACAGTGGGTGTCAAGATGCTGCAAGGAGACCTGAAGGGCGCCTGTGATGCGATCCTTCACTATAGTCCCCACGTTCTGGCCGCTGCCCAGGAAGGCGAGAACTCGACTACTTTGATAAGTTCAGATGACAAGGCCCGCGCAGAGGCCATCCACATCTTCGAAACGACTGGTAGAATCAGCGATGCCGTTGAGAAGCTGCCTCGGAAGTTCTCTGCCGAAGCTAACTTGATACGCCAGCTGGGCCGTTCCAAGAATGACTACCTCGGAGCCCTGCAGGCGATTCCCCGGAACCTGCGGTTGATGTATGTGCACGCCTACCAATCGTTGGTCTGGAACTTTGCTGCAGGCGAGCGGTGGCGGCTGTACGGAGACAAAGTCGTCGAGGGAGACCTGGTTCTCATCCACGAACACATCGACAAGAACCAAAACGCCAATGGCCCTGTCACTGATGTCGATGCAGACGGCGAGGTAATCATTGCCCCGCAAGCCGAGGACAGCGCCTACGCCGCAAGCGATGCCTTTGTGCGCGCGCGAGCCCTGACAGCCGAGGAAGCCGCCAGCGGCAAGTATACGATCTTCGACGTTGTCCTCCCCTTGCCAGGATTCGACGTGCTTTATCCCGCCAATGCTATGGGCGATTTCTACAAGCGCTTCATGGGCAGCGAACAAGGAGGCGGTCTAGACCCATATGACATGCGCCGTAAATGGAAGGACATCAGCTTGAGTGGAAGCTACCGGAAGTTCCTCAGCCGGATGGGAGCAGACTATTCGGCTGAGGTGAAATTGTATACCGCGGACGATGAGCAGTTCGTACAGACAGAACTGGAGAAACTTAACGGCAAGCAAAGCACCGCAGCCAATGCCGACTCCGCCGACAAAGTTGCCGTCGTTCTGAAGTTCCAGCTGGGCTCCAGTCAGTATGCAACCATGGCCCTAAGAGAGCTGATGAAAGGCAAGGTGCTTGCGTACAAACCTGATTTCGGTGGACGTTAAGTCAAAGACTACTGTACATATACCTCAATGCATGCGCCACTACTTGATCTGGTGTAGACACACAAAAGTTTTGTATATATTGAGCATAGATCCAATATGATATAATCACACCACGTTAATACTGTGGCTCAACTATCTCTCCCTCAATCACAATAACATAAAAATCACAAGGTAATGAAGTCCAGCAACCTACTCCAAGTTAGAAGAAGCAACAATTTGGTATTGTATAGACAAGAACACCCCATAGTAAAAAAAAATAGGGTACATATGTAACACTTCATTGCTTGCAACGAAGGGCACTGCCAAAACCCGACCGCCAGACATCCATTCTAATCGACCCAGCACCTGGCAGAAAAAGTTGACCACACTCTGAATGGGTCCTCCGGAAAGTGTATCTTTTGGCAAAAACAGGGATTTATGTCCAATACGCCACTGAAATTGCACTTTGCTTAAATATACAGTAATATAAGTACATTAGGAAAGTTACTATGTATTCTGTTTCTTTCTCAGCATGGTCCCTCCAAAATTGGAAGAGATAGAGGGGGTCCACTTTACAGGTAGAAAAGCTTCTTTGCTGGGGATGAGGCTTTGGGGTCTTACTAGCGTGATCTTTTATAAGGACCGCCTTCTACAAGTGGTTTAGTGCTTTGGCTTGGTAGACGGGCGGTCAGGGCTGAGTTTACCTAAGCAAGAACATTTTCTATGGGAGATTGGAATGATAGGATGGTCCTTGTTTTGTCAAGGGTTATATACTAAGATGCAATCGCTAAATGGAGCTCTCTGCTTCGAGTATAGAGAACCTAGGTCAATGTACAGTATACAGGATATAAGTAGGAGTATATAGGATATGGAAAAGCTCAAACGACCGAGAGCAAGACCACGACGCCAATTAACCAATATCACAAATACACACGCCCGCACCCCTACGGCCGGGTATTTCGCCTCCGTTCATTGTCATCTATCGACGAGATAGACGACACATCATCCATGTCCCGGTTCTGCGTTGGACCCGGTCTATCGCTGAGCCTCGAAATGACCGAAGCCGCATCATCATTGGTGTGGGTGTGGGCGTTGGTGTTGTTGTTGTTGTTGTTGTTGTTGTTGTTGGTCGGGTCTCCGAATGGCGATAAAGGCCATGTCGGAGATCGAGGTGTGTGTTGTTCGTGGTGGCTCATGTTTTCAGCGGTCAAGGCCATTGGACTTCCATCGGGTGCGTATATTGAGTGAACCTGTTCGGTGAAGCGGCCTCGGACGCCGCTGCGACTGTCTGCCGATGGCGGTGGGCGTAGTTCTCGGTTTAATGATTGGGTATCTGGGGTGAGTGTATGGCTATGCGGTATTGGTCGTTGTGCCATGGTGCCGAAAGAGGTTCTTTCTCGCGGGGTCGAGCCGAAATCCCCCCAGGATGGTTCTCTTTTTGGTATCGCGTATACCAAGGATGGATTACTCGTGGAGACGAGTTGTCTCTCCCGGCGGCGCCGCTTGAGGAAGATGAATAGAAGCCCTGCGAAGAGGGCAAGCCCGACGACGGAAACGGGTACGACAATGGCGATTGTGGTTTTGGTGCCGATGCCATCGCCACCACGATTGTTTGCTGCTCCAAGTGCGGATTGGGTGGTGGTTGGAGCTGCGGTGGATGTCGTTTCAGGCTGTGTAGCTAATCTTGTGGTAGTTGTTAAGGAGGATACTGAGGTCCACGCAGGTGGAGTGAAAACCGGTACAACTTGGAGACCTGTAGGCCGGTTGCCCACCGGGGGTTGTATAGATGTTGCTTCGGACTGCAGAGACGATGTGGTTGTCTCCACATATGCCAGATTAATAACAGAGTCAGAATTGCCTTCCATCTGAAAAGAGGTCTCGCTCGTTTGTGCAGTTGCCATGGCCGTCTGTACCGCTTGGTTTGCAGCTGGGGAGTTTTCGGTATTTATCGAAGTTTCAGGTCCTATAAATGGCTCTGAAGAGTCCCAAAGCAGTCGTCTGTTCGACCATACGTCGCACCCAGCACAGTCTGGTTGTTGACGGACCCGATCATGGGCATGCAATTTCGATGGTCCAGGGAGAAGGTCTCTCAAAATGACCACCATGGGATGGTCCATATCTTAATGTTTGCGATGGGAGTAGATCAACTTGGTTTTTCTTGAGAGTTGTAGGTCCTAATACACAACCCTAAGTACATCTGAGAAGGACTATCAACATATACACTTGCACGACAGGAAAGAAGTGACAGACATTAGATTTGCGAGGGGGGAAAGGATCCATATGTGCGGTAGTGCCAGCAACCAAACTGAATCAGGGATGGAACATAGATGACATCTAAGTCTCACATTAAATGTAACCTACCGCATCATCAAAAGTCAAAGTAGACGCAAAGCGACCGAAGAAGTCGATCTATAAGTCAAAGGAGCGAGCTGCTAGATTTTGTGCTATAGTCCATGATAGTCGTGCAATTTCAGGAGCGAGAAGAAGGAAAAGGACTGGAAGCGAGCGCCTGCAAGGGCATAGAGCCGTAAGATAAAGAAAGGCGAGGGAAAGCATGCTAGACAAAGGAAGCTGACATGGCGCAGCATCTCACCAGCAGTTGTTACTAGGCTCGACTGCTAGCGAACAATGAGGGCCGCGGCTACCCAATCAGCGAAGGATGAGGACGGCACCATCAGATGAAACGCCGATCACCATTGGGTGGATGGCACACATAGGGCATGGATTCATTTCGCTGATGCTTAAAATGCGGGACATCAACATGTTACAAGAGAGTTTCCTGGCACCCAAGGTTTGTCGACATGAGGAGCTGTTCGTGCCCTCGGTGTTGCACAGACACCGGTAACAAAGACCGTGATAGATGGCGTCGCAAACTCAAGAGGGGCAAGGGAGAAGATCTCTCACAAAATATAAAAGAATAAAAAGAAATTCTTGGAGCGGTCAGCCCCGGGGTCAACCCTCTGCGCTTTCCAACCAACGGTCCATTGGTTTGATCGACATCTGAGTGGCTATGGCGAGAGCCATGTTGCGCAGCGGTTTCTTGGGGGCCAATCCTTGGCTAGAATTTAGTGGCCCATTTTGCCTCTAGTTCTGACATCGTACAGGGTAGATTGACAAGACATCACCAGGGAGAAGATGCAGAGTGGGCACAGCTGACAATGTCCGGTCGTATACATGTTATATTTATAGAACTGCTGGTAGTCATTCTGCATGCCGAAGGAACCATCATGACAGCCGACCACAAACGGCCTCCCACGTGACCCTTACGGAGATTGGAGATAACGTAACCAGACCGCACTAACCCAGATGCGTTAGTGGCATCAACATCCATGATGGTCCCGCGTCTAACGGTCACTGACGATGTGACATACCGAACTCATTCTTATCGTTACCGATCTTCGTCTGATCGGCATTGATATCAGTCACTCGCTGAACTGCACAGGTCCTTCCGTGGCCAACAGAAGCCGCACCGACAATGAGTGGGATTAAGGGAGTGTTCAAGGAGGGCTGGCACCCCAAGGGTAAAGAAGGGCAAAAGGAGAGCTGGCGGGGTGACTTCAAAGGCATTAACCAAGTGGTGTGTTATAACCATTACACCAAAGCGACCAGAGATGAGCTGACAATGTGCTACTCTCCCGGTAGGCTGGATGGATGGGGAAAGGCAAAGACAAGGATAGCGAGCGTGACGAACATGTCTCCCGGCCTCTCTCGTCGCTCAAAGACCCAGCGGCCTTTGGGCCACCACCGAAGCATATCAAATATCACGGCGCCGCTGCTGTCCCGAACCAGACAACACCAGACCGGAGGGCTTAGGAGCCCCCTTGTCGCAAGAACCGATTCGCCAACAAGAAGAGCAAGCGGAAGCTGAGGCAGAACCCCAGAAACCAGCACCCCCTCCGTTACCGTACCGTGCAAACCGGACAGGTGTTGATCCAAGTACCCTCCCCCCTCCTCCCGTTAGACGCACAGGGTCACCAGCAGATTCTGCGGCTTCTGGAGCTAAGCCCAGCATCCCACCCCGAATTCCTCCACGGACCAATTCCACGCCACAGTCCCATTCACCTACTCCCCCTCCTGCATACTCTCCTCATCCTACTACAGAACAATCCTCTGATGGCTACCTGAATCAAGGGGCTACATCCCGCCTTGCTCAGGCGGGAGTTTCTGTTCCATCTCTGGGAATTGGAAACCGTGGCGATTCACCGAGGTCTGCGTCCCCAGCTGCTGGTGGGTCAATCGGTCAAGCTCCAGTCAGCGAACTGCAAACGCGCTTCTCGCAAATGAGGACCAATTCCGGCAGTCCGTCTCGACCTTCTCCCCCGCCGGCCCGGGGGAGCCTATATGGACGTGAGTCCTCCACCGTGTCTGCATCAGATGCCCACAGCGCTACGTCCGCTATTAAGGACTTCCGCGAGAAACATGACGACAAGATTCAAGCAGGAAAGCAGAAGCTCAGTGGTTTCAATGAGAAGTACGGGATCTCCCAGCGGGTAAACAGCTTCTTTGACGACCGGAAGGGCTCCACACCTTCGGACCAAGCGCCACCGCCCGTGCCTCCTCATCCCAATCTCAGTCGTTCCAACTCTAGCGTTGACACCGAGTCCATTAGTCGAAAGAAGGCTCCACCACCGCCTCCCCCCAAGAAGTCAGGAATGCGATCTACTCCGGTGAATGCATCGTCCCCAACACCTCCTCCGGTGCCACTTGGAACCAAGCCGCGCTGAGCGGAGCATTCAAACATAAATATTCCCTTAGGGCTCTGTTTTGCTTTTTTCTTACGTGTGTATTCTGTCAGGGTATCTCGGAATCTTGAGTTGTTGTAGCGATTGTATCATTACTCATCTGGCGTTGTCATGCTTAGGTAGCACATCGTGATCATTACCATTCTAAATACTGTAGAAATTTGTACATGGAGATAACTGATACCCAGTGTGAGGACGTATCAAGCAACTGTAGATGCGAAATAGGGCAACGATATCATCTCAATGCACCGGAATGGTTGCTGGGCGTCCAAACATTTAGTGTACTCCCACATCAATGCTGGTACGTCGTCATGTGATTTCAACAATCTCAGCAACAAGGCAAAGAATTGGTGCCTCAGGCGAAAATCACCACGAGTCATGCCCGGGCTGAGTCAGCGGATCGCATGAAGGCGTTGGAGAACCATGGGAAGACAAAGCAGCAGTTCATCATCCTCCCATCATCTCGTGTGGACCTCTACATAGTACAACAATTGCGCCAATGGCAGTAGATATCATGCAAACGAGCCAGAGGTTCAGTCTCGGGCTTTATTTGGTTGCCTTCCAAATCAAACCGAGGGATATGCCGACGGCATGACGAAAGACCTGATAATTCGTCGTCCCTGCTATCAGACCATCAATGCGGAAATCCATCGCGTGTGGCCAATCGCGCCTGCGTCTTGGATGAGACTGCGCAGTATCGGGTGCTGATCCCTTGATAGAAAGACCACTTATTGAAAGACTTCAAGAGCGCCTTGAGCCAATGACCGTTGTATGAGACAACTCCTTGTTCACAAGCATCTTTGAACAAGGATCAACAGACCTTTGGATGGATTTTTCCCTACGTAACTGTTGGGGCCGAGGTTCGCTGCGCGTTCCTCAGGGCCAAGTTCCCAACAAAATGCATCGCGGCTCCACTTACGGAGATAATCTTCGCTCCCATTGATCCGGACCGTTTGGTGACCCCAGAACTCAAACATGAAGGCCTAGTCTGTTTGGCTGAGCCTGGTCGATCATTTATCTCCCATTCTTCCTTTTTTCCTTTCGCCAATTGCCTCATCGCCGACTAAGTTGATCTTCCTGTTGCTGCTGGGGTTGTCCTGCATTCACTCCAGGCTCCAATTTCTAGCTACAGAGGGTATTCATCACCATATATAATACCTCTTTTTTGTTGACCTTCCCTCTGGTCCTGTTGTCTATACTTTTTCCTTCCCTTTTTTTTTTTCCTTCTTTCCCTAAACTCGAAGGGAAACCGCGATTCTTACTCCCGAGGAAGTGAGCTTGGGTACAAGGCCATTCTCCTTGCCTCATCTTGCAACTTGACTCTCCCCACTGTGGGAAATCTAACAACATGTTCGATCTAAACCTCGAGACCGCGTCAGGCCCAGCGGTCGTGCGCATCGGCCTCCCGCCCTCCTCGTTACTGAAATTCCCCCCAGACGAACTCCCTACCACTCTTCCAGCTCCCCAGGTCTCCGAACCGACATGGAACCAACCCTTCAATATCCCTCCCCAGCTGTATAACCAACTGCTAGATGTGCGCGTCCCCATCACCATTGCCAGTGTGTATGCCGTCACCGTTTGCCTGCTCAATCGCGTGAACAAGAGTCGCGGATACAAGCCCTGGGGGTTCAGTCAGACAAAGCTCTTCAAGGCTTTCGTCATCCTTCACAATGTTTTCCTTGCCGTGTACTCCGCATGGACTTGCGCCGGCATGTTCCAGGCGTTCCGCAACTCGTGGCCAGACCGGAATGATCCCAACGGCCTTGTGGGCGTGGTGGATGCGCTCTGCAAGATCAATGGTCCCCGAGGCTACGGAAATGCCGCCACGTACAACCCCTTGGCCAACCAGTGGTCCATTCACAATCCCGAATACAAGCTCGCTGATGGTGGAGTACCCGACCCCACCGATGTCGGTCGCATGTGGAATCAGGGATTGGCATACCTGGGCTGGATCTTCTACCTGTCAAAGTTCTACGAGGTTTTGGATACTGCGATTATTCTGGCCAAGGGCAAGAAGAGCTCGACCCTGCAAACTTACCACCATGCCGGTGCCATGATGTGCATGTGGGCCGGTATCCGTTACGTCGCCCCTCCCATCTGGATCTTCACCCTGGTCAATTCGGGAATCCATGCGATGATGGTACGTGTGATTGGTTGAATGCGTGACCCTGCAGCGAACTAACCTAAAAAATTTAGTACACTTATTATACCCTGACTGCCCTACGCATCCGTGTCCCCACCGTGATTAAGCGCTCCCTGACCTCCATGCAAATCACCCAGTTCCTGGTCGGAACCACATGGGCTGCCTCCTACCTCTTTGTCCACTACACTCTCCCTCCCCAGTCTAAGGCTGCTGCTGCGGCATCTGCAGTCCGCTCTACCATGGCGACCGCAGCTGCTTCCGGTGTCGCCCCATGGCTCAAGAAGCTTGGCTTCCGGGCAGCTGGCGCGGAAGGGATTGCCGAAAATGTTGGCTATGCGCCTGAGATCGCTGGAAATGTATCGCAGCCTCATGTGGGTCCCATGGTTACTTGCATGGACACCAGCGGCCAAGCATTTGCGATCTGGCTCAACGTCACTTATCTTCTGCCCCTGACTTATCTTTTCGTCCGCTTCTTCATCCGTTCTTATCTGTCTCGCAAGGACCCCAGCCCTCAGCAGGCCACCCACATGCATGCCGCCGAGAAGGCCGGTCTCGATGCATTGCACCGCGTGAGCCGTGAGATTCAGAAGTCCGTCGAGATGAGCGGCGAAACGAGCGAAGCCACTGAGGATGAAGCTATCAACAAGGCCCAGGCACTCCGGAAGAAGTCCCAACAGGTCGCCGCCGATAACTCCCCGATCCGGACTCGCGCTTCTTCGAAGCAAAAGGCACGTCTGGCCAACCAAGAGTCTGGACAGGGTTTCTCCCCGGTAAAGAATGGCGCTAAGAAGCTCACCAGAGAGGAGGTTGAGGCCCCCACAGACGTTTCCGGCGTCAAGGACAAGAACCCCTATGGCGTCCTGAACAGAAATGCTTAGACCTCATCTTGTTCATCCTGAAAAAGACATCACTTCTTATGCATTTACACTGCCCGGGAATCACCTATAACGGCTTAAAAGTTTCAATGGGCAACCAGCCTGGAATAGTCAAAGATCTCTCCTTACTGAAGTTCTGACCACGTTATCTACGACGATAAGAACAGAATGGGATATGAACCTGACGAGCCTCGGGGATCCCTACCAGCCTGATCACCCCATGAGATCGTGCATCACCGTCAGTGGCCCATGGTCTGATCAGCGCAGCGGGGTTTACCATTTCAACTTACAGCACGAAGAAAAGACAAGTCCTAGAATGCGTTAATGGTTATTTGGGTCGGATCTCTTTTCTTCGTTTCCTTTTCTTTTTCATTCTTGATAGATTTTGTTTTATTTATGTGAATATGTTAATACCAACAGCTGGATCTGGACTTTAAAAAGAACTGGAAATAATATCTTTAGTTAGGAGCACAAGATATCAAAAAGCATTGTTTATTGTTTGATCTATTACTGTTTGTCCTGCATCCATCTATTATCTGTAGATATCTCTCGTTGCTTTTTGCTGTGGTCTACGGCGTGAGCAGGCTAACCCATAAGGACTTTTGGCTCAGACGAGACTCAATGTTATATCTAACTATATCGTAGTATACAAAGTCCAGCCATCTAGACCTCGACCTAACGTTACCTTATCAAAAAGATATGAAGTTCATTCTCATACTGTGTGTTAGAACAGAACGTCTCGAGCAAGCCATATCAGCCATCGGTATCCATGGTCACTACTTCCGGACAAAAGACCGAGCTTATACACCAGCGTAACATAAAAAACAAAAACAACGAATAGTCTATATGCATAATTAATAATTTAAAAAAAAATATAGTGTAATTTCTAAATATGTTCAGACATGGAAAAATACCCATCATGTCAAATAAAATCATATACACGTTCCATCGTGAAACGAGAAAGAAAAAGAAAATCCAAAGCAAAAACCAGGCCGCAAATCGTTAACCTTAACCAGCCCAGCCCAGACCCTTATACAAGAAAACAAACAAACACATGTCCCCGAGGCTTAAGTGAGATACCGGAAACCCTTGCTCATTGCCAGGGTCTCGTCGGCGTCTGGTTGGGCGGTGGCAGCGTTCTCGGCCTCTTCAAGCTCCTTGTTCAGGTTCTTGAGGAGCATGCGGAATCCGTAGCAGCCGACGATGGTGATACCGAACATGGCTGTCACGATACCGTAACTCTTGCGGTATCCGTTGTCGGAGAGATCCCAGACGTAGGAGCCGGCGACGTTACCGAGCTGACTGAAGGCGTTGATCATGGCGATTGCAACGGCACGCTTGGCTGGGGGACGGGGGAAGGATGTACTGATCCAGGAGTAGAAGACGATGAATCTGTGGGGTTTGGAATGTGGTTAGTATGGCTGTGGTGGATGATATAGTAGAGGTGAGTCGGGTGGGGAATGCTTACCCAGCATAGGAGGCGGCTTGGAGGAAGAGAGCGACGTATCGAGCTGCGACGTTCAGAGTGCACATGCTGATGATGAATCCGACCAGACCGACAAGGATAGGGCCGACAATGTGCCAGAACTGAAGGAGTTGGTTAGATGGGGCTATTTGTAAAATTGTGGGACTGTCACAGAAGACAAACCTTTTCCTGGTACCGATCGGAGCTCCAGGCAACGACCAGAGAGAACAAACAGGAGAACACCCATGGCGGGGCACTCATGAGCAGAGTAGGCACATAGCCGAATCCGAGGGTTCCAGTAAGGGTAGGCTAGGAGTCTCAAGTTAGACTGAGCACGCGCAGTGGGAAGACAGGGAGAACTTACGAAGAAAGCGTTGAACGAGAGGCCGACCACGTAAGCAGTGAAGGTGATCATCATGATATAGATCTTGATGTCCTTGACGGCCATGAACAAGCCATCCCACGGTCCTTGATCCTCGGAGTCAACATCAGCCTCGCCAACATCCTCGGCCATTCGTAGCTGAGCTAGGTCCAGCTCGTCCTTGGTGAACCCGCGTGTGTTGGTCGGCAAATCAGGAAGAATGACTGCTGCTAGAATAGCAATGAACATTGTGGCGGCACCCTCGACTAGAAAAATATCAGTCAACTGTAAAATATCGGAGACGATTTAGGAAGCTTACTCCAGAAGAGCCAGCGCCAAGCAGCGTGACCAAGAACGCCTTGCATGTTGGAAAGGACACCAGCTCCAACGAGTGCGGAGAAGGCATTTGAAATCAGATTTCCACAGAAAAGGATAGCGTTTCTCGTGGTGAGCTCACGACGGGTGTACCATTTCGACAGGATCATGAGAGCTCCGGGGAGGAAAGCAGCCTCAACGAACCCCAGGAAGAAACGGATACAGACCATTCCGGCAAAGTTGGTAGCGACGCCGGACAAGGTCGAGATAAGACCCCAAACAAGCATCACGGCTCCAATGTAGATAGAGGGCCGCGAGATTCTGTTGATGAAGATGTTGGAAGGGACCTGCATCAGAATATAACCGACGTAAAGAATACTAAGGCAGGTGGCGTATTGGCTGTAATCCAAATTCAGGTCATCCTGGAGGCCCTTAAGACGAGCAGCGGCCATGTTGTTCCGATCCAGGTAGTTCATGATGTAGATGATAACGAAGAAGCCGCAGCGAGCATCGAGTTTGCGCTTCAGACTCTTCTCTACTCGCGCACGCGTTGCCGGGTCGGCCAGCGCCGGGTTCGTTGTGGTGGTTACGGGCCTTTCCTCGAGATGGGCGGCATCATAGCCGGCCTTAGAGATTTCGTCCGACATGGCTTATAGTAGTCTGGGATTGTCGATTTCTCAAATCGTCTCTGAGAATAAAATGACCCCGAAGGGTATGGGAGATGGAAAGTATTTGACTTTTTTTTCAACTAAATCATGCCCAGCACATTAGGAGCTTTCGGCTTGCCGGTTTTGGGACAGTACACCGAAATCCAGCAGGAAGAAGCGGGGGGAGGGCACAGGGTTGAAAGATAGAGAGAAGAAAGAGATAGGAGATAGGAGGAGGAAGAAGGAGAAGTAGAGTAGAGAAGTAAGGAGGAAGGAAGGGAGGAGAGGAGAGAGTACCGTCCGAGATCAAACATCCAGGCTCGGGATCAGGGACCTTTTTGTGTAGGAAAGAATTGACCAGAAAACTATGACGACCCGCGGAACCGCACCCGTTGGGTTTCCCGACATATTCCCATGCCGGGAGGAAATTTAGGCAAATGGGGACCGAGTCAATTAGGTATGGTTGAGACCAATGGGGAAGGTGAAGGCGGGGAAAAAGACTGGGGAAGACCAAAGTCAAAAGATAAAGTCTGGAGACCGGGGAAGAGCCTTCGTGGAATCAGGAAGCAGAAACGAACCAAGCGAACTGGAATTGTGGAGTGAACGAAGCGTGGGGGTTTTTTTTCTCTTCTCTCGTGACAAAATCTTCGTGGGGGGTTTCGGAGCTGCCGTGGGGGTTCCCTCTGCTTGCGGGATATGGCGTTCGGCAGTTTACTTGGAGTCCGATTGACTATGGATCTTTTCATGAGGAAAAAAACGTGTTCATGGCTCTGACAGCCCGGAGAATTCAAGCTTAACCTCACCCCGACAGAGGCGGCAGTTATAACCACAGTGCTACTGGGATTCCAGCACAAGATCTCGGCTCTGACAAGATTCTGACCAAGCTTTTGCAGCAGAATGTATTACTAACTCATTTGACCCCCGCGTCCGGACGTTCCCCGTGGGCCGGGACCAAGGGGACTCTTCCGGTCCCAGCTTCTCGGCTACCCGTCCATATCTGGTCTGGTAGGTACCAACATGTTCTAATTGTCGGTGTGGGAATACACTACTCCGCGTTGACGGAAAAGCTATAAAGGCAGATACTAAGAGCTCGGGATCCTTCCTGAGGGGAAGAGGCAATTCTCGTACGTCATTTTCTGTCCGTGGTGTGAATCTACTGCAGGTGGATTAGGGCTTGTAGATCGGCACGGATCGGGCTGTATCGGCACGTGTTTCACTCGGAATTGAGAGCCCTCACGTGCTGCCTTTGGGAATTCTCCTACGCTTTCACATCTCCCCCTCTAAATACACGTCGGTTTTTACGAGAGGGTATTCGTAGAATATATCTCTAGGATATGACGGGATGGAATTCGGTTTGGAGGAATCTGTCTCTCATTCCGATACTTGGTCTTGAGCATTGAACCCTCTGGGCCGAAACCCTATCCCGAATTAGCCCCATTCCACAACATAAGATAAGGTCTCATTCTTTCTGGAGCATCACGACGTAAAAAAAGAATAGGTAGCATGTAAGAACATTCTCAATCATTGTTTATCGCTGGAAACAAAATAGACTCCGTCGAGGCACAACACTTGATTGACTTTTCGGGTGACCCATGGAACGTCAACCAGATTTTTCGGCCCCGAAATGCTGCCAAGCATCACAGTCGCCACATGGGATATGAAGTGCTAAGCGGGTCAAACAGCTGAAAGTCTCTTCTCTTAACGCAGTTGGACGAAGGAGAAGCGCTTGAAGAGGAAGTGTATCTATGCTCAAGGGACTAGTAGTCTCATTCTATTAGACTATGAATCAACGGACCCCTTTGTGTATGCTAAGATGGACAGTACAAGAGATAATCCTCGTATTCAATCAATGCGCTCCATTCCTATATCCACCTTCCCTGGCAATACACACGTAGGAACATGGCTATTTGTTAAAGCTGAACCTCTAACCCACCGGTGCCACAGAGCGGTTGCGATGGCCATTGGTCATTTGTATTCTTCCCATACCTAACGGATTATGCAAGATCAAACCCCTACATCATCACCAATAGACATTGACCAGCCATTGACATACATCTGAGTATGTTCATAAATCTCTACGGTCTTCTGCTGCTGCAGCCACTGTCGTAATCGCACGTGTAGACCCTGAGGCTCCGCCTGAAGTCTATCTGGACCATACAGTTGAAGCTAGTAGATCCATGCAGCAGTTCACCAGGTACCTCCAACAACTCCTTAATATCTCAACTATAGCCAGTGTCCATATTTTGGCCCCTTCATCGTCATTCCTATTCCAGTGTCTTCAAGCAGCAGACCCTGTTTATCTCAATATACATTGGCTTGGCGAAGGAATTGGGAGACAAGATGGACACAAAACAAGGCCGACACGACCAGCTTCTCTAGATCTATAGAGCCAGCTTGAGATACTTCTGTATATTCCAGGAACACAATCATCCAAGCATACACTCACTCTCCTACTACATCCTCAAAGATCCTTCTCTCTCCAAAACGTTCACCATGAAGTTTACCCTCGCCACTCTCACCGCCGTGGCCCTCGCTCCTCTCGCAGCAGCAGATTTCTACATCTACTCCATCAAGAGCGGCTCAGTCGATGACGGCATGAACCCCCGTCAATGCGGACGGATTCTTCTTCCTGAACAGTCCCCCTGACTGCAACGACGTCAACAACAAGGCCATCTTCATGTCTTCGCTCGGGGATGTCAGCGGTGGTAAGCACGGGGTGTGCTGCAAGGGCTGCCCTGATTTCGAGGAGCTCGAGTTCAATAGCAAGATAGGCCACTACAGTATGTCTCTCTCTGTTCTGCTTACCCTCTAGTATCGCTCTAGAATCGGAATGATCAGCTGACGCCGTGATACACGACCATCTACAAGAACCGGGATTACGGTCTGTTCACCACGACGACAAGAAGGTCGGCCAGTGCCAGATGGATAAGTCTGATCACTTCCAGTGCGGAAACCCTTCCAGCCAGGCTGGTGATTCGATCGTGCACTACACTGCACTGCGGACTTTAACGCGGATGCGGTCAACAAACAATGATTTTACGATGTAGTTGGGGTGGGGGGTATAGAAGTAGTTCTAATTCTTGGAGATGTGCTGAATATACTAAGTAACTATCTCTGTTCTCTTGTTCTTTCGTCTTTTCTCTCCATGATAAGCTGACTACGGAAGGATGTGGTCCAACTCCAGAAGTATACCTATCACCTCTAATCCCAGCTCACCATGCCAGCACAAACAAGACACAAAAAAGCCAAACACATACGTCACCCACACTGCACTCAATATACTCCCCATATCATCAGAGGCATACCGTATACTCCTATAGTACCCAACAAACCCACTAATCCAACTCTCCCAAGAACCCCAAAAGCCCAAACACAAACCAAAGCCCAAGCCAACGCTAACGCCACCCTCGACTACATACCCCAAACCAGCTCGAAGCACATTCCCAAGCCCAACAAAACAGACACAGTCAGGACCGGGATGCAAACCACAAAAGTGGAGTGGAGAACCCGAATGCTACGTGAAGGTAACGTGGGCCACGAGAAGCGTGGGGGTTGAAACGCTAAACCCTAATCCGTAACCTTTTACTTAAGCCTACCATCGGCAATTTTCGTGCAAAAAGTCATTGTCTGACCACGAGAATTCTACCGAGATGAATTAACTACGGAGTAGACTAATGCACGGAAGGGGGAAGGAAGAATTTTTCTTTTTCTCTCTTTTTCTTTTCTTTTTTCGGGATCTGGGGGCGGGTGTTTTTACCTTTTTTTCTTTTTCTTGTTTTTCTTTAGCCGGAGGTGAAGTTTTTCGGTTGAGTTTCTTAGGTGGGTTAACTTTTGTAGAATTTGTGTGTATATACCTCCGGTGGAGGGAGGATGCAGGGCGTTAGTACCTGCTATGGTTATGGTTGTGTCAATATGTAACAGGTCCAGTTGATGGGATCTGTTGGCACTCAGAGAAGGTTGTAGTATGTACTCCGGACAGTACTCGGGCCAAGCCAACCCCCCGGCCCGAATTAGATGATCCCTACCCGAGTTAGAGTCGAAGGAAGGGGAATCGGTGTGGGGAGAGTTTGGAATTCAACCGAGAAAAACCTTTTATATGATGTCTAGGATTGTGTCGGTCGTTTTGCTCGGTTAGCAGCTTGTTGGGTTTGTAGCCCCGGTTGTCATTCAGCAGGAGAGGGAGGGGGATCTGCTAGGATGGGTTTTATTGTCGGGGAGATATGTCGGCTTCGGTGTTATGGGGGTTCTTAATTTTTTAAGTACTGCTGCTCTGAGGGTTGGCATAGCATCGGGTTAACTGTGTTATACGAATGGTAGACCGTTGATAGGTTGTTGTGACACTCAGTTTGTGTCTATTTTATACTAAACAATGAGAACGGATATTGAGCTGTTCATTCATTTGTTAACCTATTTTCTGGATTTACTTCGGACAGTGTAAGCTCCGGAGAGTTAAAGCATCATCATCGTCGTCATTATACACTTGAGCATCTATGGATATCTCTACAAGTTGCACGAGAGTGAGTCTTTAGCTGTTGCCCAATCTCTGCAGATATAGCACAAATCGTTTACTGTGAGAGCATCAAGCAAAAGCATGTATACAGAAACCAAGAGATTTGCGAGAACAACCAGACCTGTAGACTCACATCCAACAAATCCCAAAAGATGAGATAAGTACTAGGCAGAATAATACAGGAAGGAAAATGGGGACATGGACAAAGAAAGATACGGACCAACACCACCCACCCACTGTTAACAGAACAGGACTATTCTGTATGCACAAATCCCCACTCCCGACAATTGCTTTTCGAGAAACTCTTAAAGACCCATCCAAGCTACTAAGGAGAAGCGGGAGCATCCTAGCTAGACCACCTGAGTCGTCTCTCGCTTCCCCTTTACACAAACAGCCGCAGCTGATTCATGAATCGCAGGGGCTCCACAAAACCGGATGGAACTAGGTACTTTTGACGCCCCTGTTTAAGCCGAGGTCGTCCTCGAATGACCGTTATGGCAAAATGGCCACGTCCAGACCAGGGATCAAGAAGGGACTAGCCTTGTTGCTTGTACTATTGTCTTAAGATCCAGGTAGTCGGCCGCTAGCTTAAAATAGTGCCATAGGTCCGTAGATTATGAGACTATTTTAAGACACTGGTGATGACTTAACAGTCTCGAAGATGAGCAATTCCAGGATATGGTATATGTCGACATGTCTGTGGTTGATGCCAGTAGTCCTTTCTCAAACATGGATTTCTACTTCACAAGGCTCGGTTCATGGTGCAAGACTGACATCCTCCCTCATATGACTGGACGTTCCAGCTAGAAAAATTATGTATAAGAAACTTGGTCAATGGACGATGCTCTACTTATACGGAAAACGGCTCTAGTGTTCTGGAAGATAAACCCCGAGGATCATTACTGCCCTGAGATGGGCCGTGAACTGCTGCATTTTACTACCCAGGCAATGAACAATAGAGTAGGTCAAGTATGATGATAGACCAGTCCCTGAAAGCTGTACAAGAGACGTGCCATGCATGGGAAAGCGAGAAGCGCTGAAACAGATAGAATACCAAGACTCGGGAACAACAACCAAGAGGATGTGGCCCTTTTCACGCTTGCAAAAGCACAAAACAAGAGACTGGACGGCTCTGATGCAACTCAACTGCGGTGAAACGCAGATGGAAGAGATTAAAAGAATCCGTAAACATAATTGAGCTCGGAGAGAGATAAAGGCACAGATCGAAGCTCAAAGGTAGGAAGGCAAAGTAGATCGGAGCCGGATGATCACAAACAATCAAAGAAACGACAAAGTATGCACAGCTCCAATTTTCAATCCATTCTTCAATGTAAAATCCACAGATTTCAACGCACAAGAAACCAAGCTGCTAGCGCCGTAACACCGAGAACATAGCAGAGACACAAGTGAATGGCCGGGATTTGCGAAGTCGGCAATAAGGGTCAGACGGGCGTGTTCAAAATCCACCAGCAGCAGAACTGAAGACGCAACCCAAATGTTGCTCTAAGAAAAGCAGGTCTACAAGTCAACACGCCAAATGTTGGATAACCACACCATTCATAGATCCAACAGCCGTCCAGAGAGTAATGACACAGACGTCACCTAGAATAGGCAGAGGGAAAAAGAAAGAATAAAAATAAAGATAAAAACGCCATTTGAAATGCAGCGGATTAGAGGAAGTGGGTATAAATCTTCGAGGTCTCATGAACTTCCATCTCCTGCAGCTATATTAGCATTTGCTAATGAAGAAACCGTCTGGTGGGCTCCAGCTCAACTCACCATCTTGAAATTGTTCAGCTCCTCTTTGATCTGTTGGGCAAGGAGAGGGGTCAGTCGGTTGCAGGTGGCGATCTCCCCACGACGATCATACTCGCCGCTCGGCCATGTATCATGGAACTGGATGCGAGGACTGAAGACGAGACTTTTAGGAGCCGCTGGTGTAATGGAAGCTCCTTTGGAATCAAGGAACCGCCCGTCTGGTAGGAAATCATCCTCACCAGCGATCCGGACTGCGTCAGCACGTCGGGTCTCCGACCGTGTCTGGTCCTCAGGAGTACTGGGGACGCTGGAATGAGGCGAATCGCTCCTGATCGTAGTCAAAGGACGCTCAGCCTGCTTATTCGGTGTGGAATTTGCTACTTCGGAGGTTTCTGATCGTAGATGTTAGCCAAGGAGAGCCCACCGCGGTAGAGAGCGTGAAAAAGAAACCCACTTTTGAGGATACCCTTCCTTACTGCAGCTAGAACCTCCGCCCGCTCCCTATCACCTCCCACAATGCTCTTACGCATTTGAGAATTATCTGCAGCACTATCTTCGGCAGCCGATGGACTTCGGGATTTAGGTTCAACCTTGGGAAACACTGTCCCGCCACGAGAGACATCTTGCGGATCCGGATTCACAGCTACGTTTTTCCGTTCCGCTTCGACGTTGACCACGGATAGTTGAGGCGCCATCGGTTCGACGATAACGCCGTCATTGGATGCCGTGCTCACAACAGACTTGGGGCGGAATAACCCAACGAGGGATCTCGTCGACCGTTTCATCCCCTTACCCATCTTCCGGAGCATGATCGAAGCAGATGATGCTGTAGAAGAGACAGACAAATTGTCTGTAGAGCTGTTAAAGAAGCGGCCTTGATGATGAGAGTAGATACTTTCACCAAGGCCACTGGCTTCTTGTTGTTCAGCAATGGCGGCCTGCTCGGGGCCCAGTTCCTGCTTGAGCAGTTCCCTCCGAGCTTTCTCTGCAGCAATGGCCTCCTTCTTGCTCGCGCTACTTTGAGCAGAGGCCTTGAGAAGTTCTGATGCGCTTCCGAACGAGAAAGCTCTTCTTAACCGGGATTTACCGGGTCTCTTGAAATCATTGTTCGTAATCTCAGCCAGACGTTGTGTTGCAATACTCTCCGTTGGAAGCCGCTTATCCTTAGACTCTGGTTTTGCCGTTGCTGCATTCTCAGGGATGGGATCTTGAGTAACAGGTTGCGACAATGGAGACGGTTTCGTCACTCGTTTAGTGTCATCCGGTTTAGCAACAGCTTTGTTCGTCGACGCAGACTCCGTATGTGCCGTATCCCGAATCTGGTGAACGTTAGCCACATGCTGGTATATAAATTGGATACTATGCCATTTCGCCCTTACAGAAGAGGTAGAGGAGTGGGGGGAATGATTGCTTCCCGAAGCATCTCTGTTGGACTGTGCCGAATTTGGCCGATGGCTTGGATCGAAATAATCATGGCCGCCTGTTGTCGGAATTGGTGACGACGAGGGCAGATGAAGTTGTAGATTAATGAGACCAGCATTATCCATATTGCCCCAGCTTCGTCGTCTGTATCTCTTCGCCAGCTCCGGCTGTTTTTCTGTCCGCGACGAATCATCGGCACTGGGCACCCGGTTGTGGCCTGGCTTACGGGACGTATCTTGTGCCGGTCCATTGGATCCTGACGCGGTGTTCGATTGTGAAAGGTGGTCGTCCGTCGTCGGCGGAAGACGGCCAGATCCGGGTGCGTTGGCGGGTGCAACGGCGGGCTGCGAGGCTCCG